TGTTCATGCATCTTCAGGTGCCACTTAAATAGCTAAGTCTAAAAAGAAAGCCTAAATAAATAAGCGGCTAAATCTGGGGAGGTCTGAGTGTGTAGCGGTTCCCATTGGAAGATCCTGGGGGAGGCCCATGGAGGTGGAGTGTAGGACTTGGGTATCTGGGGAGGCACAGCAGGACTCAGAGCAGAAGATAGTAAGGAGCCCTTCTTGGTCCAAGGGGTTAAAACACAGCACTATGAAGCTATCACAGTCACAGCAGCATGAGTTTGATTCCCCGGCCAGAGAGGGGACCCACATGGCGTGGCTGACCTCTCCTGACCCGCCTGCTGCTCCCCTTGGCAGTATATTTCAGTATGTTCTGCTCCCTACTCTGCCTCTGTTCTGTGTGCATGAATGAATCTTTAGGAAAAAAGAAAAGAAAAGAAAACACAGCGTGGAGAAAATCTGTAGGTCCCCACACTTGATGAACAGGGTCGTGAAGAGGCAGCAGATGAGGCACTGGCGAGGGTGGGGGGGGGTGGGTCAGAGAAATGTACCCTTAGAAGACTTCCATCTCTTCTCTTGCTACATCAGACACTTCTTTCCCCAGTTCTGGCAGCTGAGAATTCTCACCTGGGCCTTCTTTATTACCCGGCAAAATGCTTCAAACTCCAAGAGTCCCCCGAGATGCCTTGCCTAGGAACCCTCCCAGCAGGCAGGCCTCCACCCTATCACAAAGCCCTCAAAGGCTCTCTGTCTAAAGCACAGTTCTGTAATAGTTTTCAGAGGTCCTTGTTCCACCCATTTAATAGTAAGCAATTTGAAGGCCAGTAATGGACCTTTGTCTCCCCGCTTCTACAGCCCTGGCACATAGACATGCACACACAGAATGGGACATGAGTGTCCCCTCAACACTGACCTCGTTATTACTTATTGTCTCCAAGGCCTAGTTCCCAACACAATCTAGACTCATGCACATCTGTTTATTTATTTTTATTTTAAATATTTAATTATGCATACAGATCTGGGGTACAAGCCAGAGTTGCAGGGGTGGTGAGAGATTCACCAGAAACAGAGTGTGGGGGTGGCAGAACAGGCAGAATGGCAAAGTACACTACTGAGGGGAGCAACCCGTGGGTCAGGAGAGGTCTGCTGTGCCACGTGGGTCACCTCCCTGACATGAATCAAACTCATGCTAAAGCGGCTGTGTCCAGCTTCATAGTCCTGTGCCTAACCCATTGTGCCACCAGGGAATTCACATGCATTTCTGTTTAAATCAAGGTTTTCCCTCCTCCTCTTGTGGTATGACCTTGGACAAGCTGCGTGACCTCTCAAAGTGTCACGTTTCCCATTTGGGTATGTTGGGAAAAATGCATAGTATTTAATAGGAATATGGCAAAGGGTAGTAATTAATGATTATGATTGTTGCTCCTGAGCGCTGACAAGATCCTTGGTCTACAGAATCCAGGGCTGGACCTTCATTTTCCTTTCTTTTCAATTTAGATGTCTTTTCCCAGCTGCCTCCTTGTTTCGTTCTCCCGGGATCTTTCCAGTGACCAGTCTCGGAGTGAGTCTGCCTGCCTTTTGGGCCAGGTTTCTCCCCTCAGAGAACCTGCTGGTGGCTCTCACTGGGTCTAAATTGCCTGTGCCTTGCTCTCCATCAGTCAATAAAGCTAAATGACAAAATCATTTGTTTTATTTATTCTTGTTACCTTGAGGGCTGTCTAAAATTGCCTTCTTTAGAAAGCCCTATTTGCATATCTCTATGTTGGCGTCAAAGGCTGCAGCTGTGGTTTCATTGCAATTTAAATATTAATAAAACCTCTTGCTATTTTTTTTAAAGCAGTCTGGCCCTTCTGCTCCTAAGTTGATAATATAATTCAATCTTTGTCCTTTGCTTTGGATTTTTTTAAAGGGCCATTTGGAGTCAACTTAACCCAGCTGCTATAACCTTGTAGCTAAGAGCCTTTTAGCAGTCCACGAACCAAGTTTTCCTTAACAGGTTCAAGATTCCCTGATCCTGGAGACAAGAGAATAGACCAGAAGTAACACATTATACCAATTAGCTCTTCCTTTAACTAAGCAGAGATTCCCTAACCTGAGTTTACTTCAGAATTGCAGACTGCTGTCCTCAAACCCCCCCCCACCACCAACCGCCCCAGTTTCTGATCCAGTAGGTCTGAAATGAGATCCCACAACTTGTCTCCCTTCATTCCCATCAGGGGACCACAGCTGAGACTCACTATACTGAACTGCTTGTTAAGTGCCTTAATCTGGGTTCTTAAAACTAGGTCCCCATCATGTGGCACCAGCCTCCGTTCTCTAGTGCTTCCAGGCTCTAACACCATTACGTGTATTTTCCCGATCATTCAGATTCATTTCAGGATCAGCTCCCTCGGCGTTCCCCCAATCTCCGCTCTCCACATGAGCTGGCTTTCTCCAGTTCTCCTTAATTTTCTATTTGCCCAGATTCATTTCTTTAATGTTCTCCTTGTTATGGGCAGATTTATAGGCTGTTAGAGGGAGCAAAGCATTACTGAAGTCTAGTAAAAGGGCCTGTGGCTCAGCCATTTTATAGCCTTTTGAGAAGCCAGTTCCCAGGTCCCCGGCGAGGCCTGTTCTCTCACGTGTCTGTGGGCAGATCTGCAGTTCCCCTCACTGGTCCTTCTCTGTGCAGGCTGCCTCTGGCACTGCCCTTATCTGCTCCTCGCAGACTTCACAGGATACATTCTGGGCAGCGGGGCTCCTTCCGCTCCAACCATCCCAACACTGATTCCTTTCTTTTCCTCCAGCATGTTTTTGAGCTGATACTTTGTTGATGATTCTGGTTGCATTTTTAGGAGGGAGATAATCTACCCAGCTCCTCTCCACCCAGGCTCCCTCCCTGTGCCCTGTGCCCACATGATAATCCCTCCCTTCTTCCTTTGCAGAATTCATTTCATGAAATGAGATAAAGGCAGTTCAGGAACTAGTTCCCAAAATGCTCTTGTACCCAGAGAGAGCAAAAGACCAAGGGAAGGAAAAGTGGGAGCACATTAGAAAGCCAGAGGAAGGTCAACGGAGGAACAAGATTTACTCCCAAATCAGATAAGGCTCTTACAACAGCCAAACACCAAGGATGCTGACATCAGAAGGGCAAGGGGCACTTCCAGAACAGACCTGGCAGACACGGGCTGGGAGACGGGCTGGGAGACCCTGAGACTATTGGAGAAATCTTAGTTTTTGTCATCTTTGCTTTCACCCAGCATTCCTGGGAAGGCAAGCTGTATTAAATGGGTGTTGCTTTTCCATGAACCCATTAGTGATGCAGGCAGCAGTGTGAAGCCTGGCTTTCCTCCAGGGTTCTGGAAGTCGTGGTTTGTCACTGGAAACGAGGTGCTTTGGGACGGAGGGTCACCGAATCCGCACTTCTGCTTGCTTCCTGGCTGCCTTTACTAACATGCCTGCACTCTGCAGCAGCAGTCTGAGACCTCTGTGCACCTGGCAGTGGAAGCTGGCTTCGGCCCTACGGAGGTCATGCTGTGGGTGAGGCTGAACTAGAAGTAGCTGACAACTAAAAGGTGAGCAATCATAAACTGGGGGGCTGACTGGAGTGGAAGCAAAAGTGGCCTTGACTCAGTGCTGTTAGTTCCTGGGCGAGGGCTGCTGTCTCAGGCAAGGCTGCCACATACATGGAATTAGGAACCTTCTAACTGCCTTTTCCATGGCCCATAAAAGAAACTGAGTGTTAGTTTCCCTCAAAACCCACTCCCCTTCAAAACTTTCTATGAGGGTTAAACAGCCAAGTCAAAGACTATGCAGATACAAAAATAATGAGATAGAAAGGAACAGGTTCAGATCTTCGGTTGTCATGACTAGTTGTGCAAACTGAGCAAAATTCCATTTTCAGTACCTGTTTTTCAAATGACAAATATCCACAGGGTTATGATGAAGACTGTGAGATAAAAGTGGAGTAAGAACGGTCAGTGCCATTTTCTCTAGTTTTCCTTCACCCACTCACCCTGCTCACAGTACTGAATTGTGTGAGAATCTCATTCTCGTCACCTCAAAGAAGATTCTAATTTCTGAAGACTGTGCAGACGTGATGCTACCAACTATGACCTGTGGACAGGCATGTTAAATAGGAGTGGTTGTGAGAATTCTAAATAAGCCCTCCCTAGGCTTCTGACTGCCGGTTATTCAAACACTAATCCTGGCACTGCTGTGAAGGGACTCTTTATTACTCTGTAATAAAGGCTAGGGACCTGAAGATGATCACCCAGGACCACCTGGGGGACACAATCTAATCATCTGAGGTGTAAAAACAGAAACTTCTCTGGTTGGAGTTAGAGCTACAAGTCAGAGAGATGCGGCAGAAGTCAGATTCCAAACGTGAGGAAGACTTGGCCAGCTGCTGCTGACTTGAAGAGGGAGCGAGGGTCTCATGAGCTTACAGCTCTTCTAACAAACACAGCTCTGCCAACACCTTGATTTTGGCTTTGTGAAACTGTAAACAAGAAACCAGTGGGCCAACTTGGGCTTCTGAGCTAGATGAGCTAGAGAACTACATGATAATAAAATGGGTGTTGTAGTTTTTTTTTTTTTTAAAGATTTATTTATGCATACAGAACTGGGGTACAGACCAGAGGTACAGGGGCAGTGAGAGGATTCATCAGAGACAGAGTGGGGAGCAGAATATGCAGATCTACTGAAATACACTGCTGAGGGGAACAGCAGTGCCATGTGGGTCACCTCCCTGGCCAGGGATCAAGTTCGTGCCAAAGTGGCTGCTAGATTCTAGTGCTGTGCTACCAGGGAGGCCCAACTGGGTGTTGTTTTAAGCCACTAGGTTTGTGATCATTTCCTTAAGTCAGCAGTAGAAAACCAGCGCAGTATTAAGTTCCCTCAATAAACGAGTAAGTAAGTACTGTTACTACCCCCATTTTATCGATGAAAAGAATGGCTCTGAGTGGAAAGGTTTTGAGAAAGTCTGCAGGAGTAAACCTCAAGAAGAGTCAGCTGGCGGAGGTACATGCCACCACGTTTATTTGCAGGTGAACAGTATTAACATTTAGAAAACAGATTTAACACAATCAGGTCTGTGATGTCCTCACAAACTGGAGAGCTAAGAGAGACCACCTAGTCCTTCCAACAGTTACAAACAGTTCTGGATAATGAGTTTATGAAAAACACTTTTTCTTCCTTCAGCAAACAAAATTATTTATGAAGCTGTACAGTTCAGCAATAGGGAGTAAAGGGAAAAAAATTACCTCGAGGAAAGCAACAGCTCCTTTCCTGGTGGGAGCTGTCACTTTACAGACATGAAATATTCATATCAGATAACTTATATTTCAAGAGGAATGGGTTACATATATCAGAGCTACAACAATAAACATGTTATTTATTACTACTGGGGAATTAGAAGATTCTCTTGGACACCAGTTCTTAAAAAGTCCGCTGTTTATAATACATCAGTCCTAAGAAATTCTTTAGCAATATAGCCCTGGTTGCTGGAGATCAGTATCAGCGTGACTCCTCTCTCCTCTGGTTTACCCTTAAGTTCCACATTTATGTGCATTCCCGCCTCTGAATTCCCTCCCCAGTGCTTCACTTCAACATCTGTGAGCTGCCCAAGGGCTGTTCTAAGTCACATAACAGATGCCCAAAGTACTTGCCTTCCATCAAAGAGTTAAGACTCTTGGCCTTTATGAACACAGGGTTTTTAGAGAAACAAATTCAGGGAAATTAGCTATTCTCCTGAGGCCAGCTACGCTCTAAGCCAGCCTCTCGCTCTAAGCCAGTAGCCCTGGTACAAGAGATAGCACTGATAAATAATGAATCAGCACCTTGCTCAATTGGTGGGGTTTAAATAGTTTTAAATTCTTTTCAGCTGAAAAATTACCACAATTTTGTACTCATGACAGATTTTCAAAGGGTGACTTGAAGCAGAAAATCTTTAAGGGACACTTGCATAGCCAGAAGTTCCTTTCAGGCTAATGTGTATAAAATATTTAGTAACTGGGACTGTGAAAAGATTGAAGAGGAAGGCCCAGGGCCTGGAAAAAGACCATTACTTAAATTCATTTCTTGGAATCCTGTGGAGACCGGCCCTATGTGTGTGGCTGGCTGGAATCAGCAGCTCGGGGGCATCTGGGGGATGAGGTAGGTGTCCAGCTCCTGGCACTGGTAGAGTGCTACGCTGTCTAATACCCACTCTCGGGTCACCACAGGTGCTTCACACATCTGACCAATTGCTGGGGACAGAGAACATAAGCAGAGATTAGTTGTCAATTCACATAATTCCCAGACCAGACTCTATAATCAATCTAACCTGAGGACCTGCTTGTATGAATTCTTAGGGTGCTGTTAGGAGCAAATTGTTGATCTTAATGCAATGCTTCAGGACTGCTGGTGAGGGCCTACAGTCTCTGGTAACTTTATTAAACTTGAGCTCCAATGTTAAAGAAAAAGTCACCAGAGAGAGGGAACAGCACTGCAATGTAATAAGATGGAAAATGTCTGCTGTTAAACAAAAAAACACAAACAGTATGATGCACATGATCACATTTGTATAAAACACATGTACATTTATACACATAGACAACTGGAAAAAAGTGATCATCTCCAGGTGGTGGGATTACTGGAATTATTGTACAGTTTTTGTACTCATTTACATTTTATTTGATAAATATTCATATTTACTACCCCTACCCCACCATAGAAAGTTTATATATAGCTTTCACAACACAAAACAAACAACAGTTTTAAAAGAACACTTCAGTAATTCATTCACTCATCAGATATTTACCAAGCATGCAGACTGTACTGAGAACTGTGTTATCAAACACGGGGTAACCTGTGGTAGTTCAAATCTGCCCAACTGGACTCCATGCACAGGCACACAGGGATCTTACCATGGAAGCCAGTGTCCTCTGTCCAGGCATCTGGCTGCACAACCACAACTGGATGAGTACCCTGCATCCCCAGGAAGGAAACAGCATTAGAAGCACAATCTGGGGGCCTCCCTGGTCACCTAGGGGTTACTTCTCAGCAATGTTATGTTACCACTGCAGCCTGAGTTTAATCCCCAGCCAGTGAGCTGACCCACATGGCGCAGCAGCCTGTCTTACCTGCTGCTCCCCTCAGCACTATATTTCAATCAGCCTGCTCTGCTCCCCACTCTGTCTCTGGTGAATCCTCCCCCAACCCTGCACCTCTGGCCTACACCCCAGTTCCTCTGTGCATAAATAAATCTTAAAAAGAAGCACAATATGCAAAGCTTTATCAAAGCAGGACTTTTCAAACAGTCACTTCATCATTTCTTGTTGGTTTGCTGAAGCAAACAATTCTGGACATAGCCACAGAAAGGAAGGGGAAAGAACACATGGCCAAAAAGGAGGGCTGGAGGGAGAGTCAGCCCTCAGCAGTAAAACACTTGGAGCTGCCAAGGCCTTGCTCATCCAGGACAGATGGAATCTTCTGGCACAGGTATGTGGTCAAAAAAGGCTGGAGGTAGAAACAGCCTTCTAAGCCTATACTGGGGGGCTCAGAAAGACTGATGGGTGTCCCTGTCACTCAATCACAGGGCAGAATAATGAGTAACCCCCTCTGAAAGGACACCAAGGGCTTACCTCACCAAGGGTGAATGATGAAGGCTCCTTCACCACAGAAGCCCCACAGAGACACACCATCCATTCCAGTTGATCTAAATAGGGCACAGACTTAAAATCACCACTGTTAACCTGGGCCTTCTACCCCCGACTCCTAAGGATGAAAGCTCACAGCAAGATTTATCAGTGGGAGCAGTCTCTCTGCTGTTGGTCTTAAACGAAAATCTATACTAGAAGTATGGATTCAAGTCAGTTTTCTTTTGATATGCTACCCACTCTGGTTATCAGTCTCCATAAGGTCACTTGGTAAAGTTTGATAGTCTGCAAATAAAATACTTTTGAAAGAAAAAAAAATTACAAGATCTAATTTCAATTAATTCGCAGTCTTTGGCTAAGATATTGTGAAAAATACCTGCCTCCTCTCCCTCCCTGTCTACCTGTGTGTTGGTAATTGATAATCGTAGCCACGGAGAGTAGCACATTTGGTGGCAATTACTGTAAACGTCAAGAGAAGGGAAGATAATTTATTCACTAAAAAAAAAAAAAAAAGAACCCAACATGTTACTCTGGATGGGAGCCGGCACACTCAGTACCCTGGGGAGCAAAGGCTACTCCTGAGCTGGGGTCCACACACTCAGGGGAAGGACAAGCAGAAGAAATCACAAAGATGTGCCTCTGCTCCTGAAAAATCAGCAGAACTACCGATAGTTTAGTTTCTGCGCCCACTGGGACGTTCTTCTCCTTCAGTCCATTTCTGTGGGTTGCTGAGCTGTTCCCAGTTTGAGTGAACTGAGGTCATATATCAAAGTAAAAAGTACTTATATCAAAGTAAGAAAACACTGAGAAATTCTTGAGTGCCATGTGGAAATTTCATAAAAACTCAATCTATAACCAATAAAGACAGAAACAAAATTATTTTTTCCATATTCTCTTGCTGCCACCCATTTGTCCCTGAACAAATGCCTGGCTAGGCCTTATTCTCTGAGAGGACCTGAGTCCCTGGAGCAGAAGGGGCAAAGGCTGGTTGCCTGTGTGTGTGTGTGTGTGTGAGAGAGAGAGAGAGAGAGAGAGGGAAGCCAAATCTATACACACATTAGGCCACAGCATCACACGGCTCGAGGGCTGAGGCCCACAGCACTCCTGAGCAGAACATCACACTCAGTGTCAATGTTACTTAGGGAATACTCATCAGGCGCCTCCCCTGCTCTGGGCCTGTGTGGGCCCCCAGACCCACAGGGCTTACACAGCTGCTGCGCTTTCTTCCCTGTATCCAATGAAGATGGTATAAGAAGAGCAGAAGAGCTTTCTTGACTTTTATAAACCCAAAAGCCCCTCCCCCTTTGTTCAAAGAGGAAGAGCAGCTTTACCCAGCCTGAGCACAGAACACACTGTCCTACACCCTGACCACTCTGCTCTTGCTCTTCAGAAGGGGTGCAGGTTGCTTTTGGCCACAGGGTAATGTGTATGAGTGATTTTGTCTGTCAGGTGATAGAGGACTAAAATACCTGTAAAACATCTCCCAAACCTAGGGGACCCCATAAAGAGACCTTTAACACCCCACTATATAAGGCAGAGGCTAGTACTTGACAGCAGTTCTCCCAGTTTCTTACCTGTGGGCATGTTGGTAAAGGGTCCATAGCAACAGATTTCTAGGCCCCTAAAGATCTGGAAGATGACAGAGGAATGGAGGGATGGGGAGAAAGAAACATTAGTTATAAAACAATATGGGGTTTTATAAAAGCCAATATAAAGAGACTCTCAAAAATGAACTTTACTTTTTACTACCTGATCATTTCTTTCTTGTTCTTTTTGTGTAGAAGAGCTGGGGTGTAGGCCAGAGGTACAGGAGGTGAGAGGATTCACCAGAGACAGAGTAGGGAGCAGACCAGGTAGATTTACTGAAATACACTGCTGAGGGGAGATGTAGGTGAGACAGGAGGTCTGCTGTGCTTGTGTTTGATTCCTGGCTGGGGATCAAACTCAGGACACAGCAGTGACAGTGTTGAGACTTAACCTGTAGGGCACTAGGGAGGCCCCCACCTGATGATTTCTGCTGCTACTTTCCAGAGAACACTGATCAATTTTAGAATATTTTTTAAGCATCTGTATATAGAGTTGATTTACTTTATTTATACATATAAGAATTGGGGTACAGGCCAGTGGGTGGGGGTTGAAAGGATTCCCTAGAGACAGAGTAGGGAGCAAAACAAGCAGATATACTGAGTATACTGCTGAAGGGAGCAGTGGGCAAGTAAGGAGAGGTCTGTGGCACTATGTGGGTCATTTCCCTGGCCAGGGATTGAACTCATGCTGCAGTAGCTGTGGACAGCTTCATAACGCTATGCTTTAACCCACTGTGCCCTTCCCCTTCCATTTCAACCACAGCCAGAGTATCATGAAAGGAAAGCAGACAAGCTGTCTGTTCCTGTTTTAAGTGACAGCCTCCATCTGTGCTGTTCTAACTACCTGCATGAATAACCACATCCCAACCTGCTGACAGGACCTAGAGCCTCATAATGCTACAAGTTCCCTCCTCCAAGAGGTCAAATGGAGTCAAATGTTGGTGTGAGAAGGACAAAATTCAGAAATTTTTGCATCCAGGCTGGCACTCACTGATGGATGTCTGTCATAAGATAAGAAATGGGAAGTTGCACCTCTACAAAGATATGGTGGCATTTAGTACCTCCAGAATGTCATTACTTGACCAGTCCCTTGACATCATTGTCACCCCACATGGGGTAAAAACCCTATAGCCCTACAATTTCCTCTGAAGAAAACAAGAATGTGGGACTAACTCTGCCTTATAGACAGTGGAATAAGGGCAAATGGCTGGTGTGCAGGAAGCTCCGCAGGGTGAAAGCAGAAGTAGGAATAGACCCAGCAGCTTTTCTTAGCATCTGGAAGTTCCACTTGACATGCTCAGAGGGAGAGGGCAGACTGACCCTGAGGCTTCTGAGTTCCTGAACGTGATTTGTGATCCACTCCCAAAAGTAATTTTCCTTAGAAAATCACCTTTTTGGTTCTGAAGTTCTGTAAAGAGGCAGAAGGAGCTGTGCATGGCATGCTCTGAAATGCCCATGGGTACACACTTGAAAGAAGAAATGCAGACGAGGAACCTAAGCACTCAGCCAGTGACCTCAGAGAGCAGTCGGCCCAGGCCCGACACCCCATCTTGCCTCAACTTCTCCCTCAGAGCACACTGCTTTTGCTTCTATCATCTGCTACTGTATGATCAGGGGAAAGTCACCGAGTCTTTCCGGGCCTCTAATCCTTCGATTGCAAAGGTGTTAAGAGTGATTTTTCTATTCTGAAATTTTCTCTAACTTCCAAAAAAAATGACAACATTTTTGTTCAGAGCTCAGATACTGAAACTAGACTGCCTGGGTTCAACTTCCAGTTTTGCATTCACAACCAGTTATGTGAGCTTAGGCTCCTTCCTCTCCTCCTCTGAGCCTTACTTTTCTCCTCCATAAAATAGACATAATTATAGAATATGCTTCAGAGGGCTGCTGTAAAATTGTTACTGATTATTAGTCCTTTTCTCTCCCCTGCTTCCACAGGACATTCCCTTCACACACTTAGATGCTTCAGGAAAAAATCACCACAGTGAAGTAGAAAGAGCAAAGGTGGTTTCACACTGTTTAAAATCCTCACACTGCCAATGATCAGCTGAGAGATTCTTTATACCTTGAAGTTACCTCATTCCTAAAATGGAGATAATGTCACATTTTGCCAGGCTGGGAGAACTGAAAAAAGAAGCACCTTGCTTGTCCTCTAGCAACAACATGTGACCCCTTACAAGGTGAACAGGGCCATGTCCACAAAGGGGCCACACAGAGGGGTCAACACAGGGGAGGGTGGCTCTACCTTTCCATCTTGGGATTCTCTGGCTCGCTTTGGACCTTGGTGGTTTCTTCCATTGACAACATCTCCTCTGACTTCAAAATCATGCTGGAAGAACCAAACCAAAACCAGAGGGTCAGAGAAAAAGCCAGAAGCACTGCAATTAAGTCACACCCAAGTTCAGGATTGCCAGCCTGAGTTCTGACCCTCCCACCAGCTGAAATGACCAGCATCTTAGCTGCTGCAATCAATTCAATGAAGCAAATCTTTGTGGGCAGAAATTAACAATTGGCTTTTCACCTCACTGGGGCTTAATGTATTTTAATTTTCAACATGTATCTCTTCTCAAAACATTCACTTAGCATTTAGATTAAACTGCTAATACTGTGCTGTTATAAAGATAACTGGAGAATTCCTGATCTCTTAAATCAATTGAATATCACCATTTAAAGAAATACGGGCTTCTTGTATTTCCACTGAAAGGTTTATAGCTAAAGAAATAAAAATGATAAAATATACATTTAATACACTGAAGTTAGAGGTTTTCATTATCACTATTTTGACTGGTCAAGGACAAGAGAATAAAGAACAATGGGTTTTAGGAGGTTAGATACTTTGGAGAAATTTGGGTAAGAATGCTTAGAAGTAATTTTGACTTAAAGTCAAATTGTAGGGAAGAGTACAGCTGATGCCAAGAGCGTTAGGAAGAAAAATAAAGGCATGAGTATAACAACAGGCTGTTATTAGGGGAAAAAGCACTTCACATTTCCTAATCTCCTGAGTGCAGTGATAAATGTCATGTATTTGAAGATGACCCTCAAATTTAAAGTCCTGATTGTATCCCTGCACTTAAACTTGTTACCCAGATCCCAAACTCACAAACGGAAAGAGCTCTTGATTTTACTCCTGCTTCCTACCCTCCCCTTACTTATTCTTCCACATGTCCCTTAGCTAACATTACTAGTATCCACCCATTGTTCAGGCCAAAGCCCTCAATTCTTCTCTTTTTACCTTATCCTCCATTAGTAAGTCTTATCTCCAAACAGCCCTTAAACTAACCTTCCCTTACCAGCACCATGCCTCCAATTAGCCTAAAAATAAAATGCAAACTTTTGGGATTTTACCTATTTTTTGGTTTTTTTCTGTGACCTTCTACCTTTTATCTTACCTGTTCTTTATATGTAATTTATTCATTACTATTCTTCAGCTACACTGGTTTGTTTTTCTTTAATAAACCAAACTTATTCTTGCCTCAGACCTTCATGCTTGCTGTTCCACTGCCTGGAACATTTTCCCACTACATTTTTCAAGGCCAATTCAAGGTTATAATCTTGTCTCTTAGGTCTCAGCTCAAGCTTTGTTCAGAAAGCTTTCCTTGATCTAGCTAAATGGTCCAAGGGGTCAATTGTTCTCAGTTAATTGCTGTTCTATGTTTCTTCATAGTATTTATTGGTATCTTTTAAAAAAAGATTCCTTTTTATTTATTTATGCATACAAGAACTGGGGAATAGGCCAGAGATGTGGGGGGTGGCAAGAGGAGTGACCAGAGACCCAGTGGGGAGAAGAACAGGTGGGTCTACTGAAATATACTGCTGAGTGGGCATCAGGTGAGGTAGGAGAGGTCTGCTGTGCCATATGAAGGTCAGGTCCCTGCCCTGTGATCTAACTCATGCTGCAGTGGCTGGTGATAGCTTGATAGTGCTGAGACTTTAACCCCTGTGCCACCAGGGAGGCGCTTTATTGCTATCTTAAATGCGTTTTTATTTATGTGTGTCTTCCCTCATAGAACATGAATCCCACCAGAGCAGGAACCTGTTTTGTTTACCAGTAAATGCCTGGAACCCAGCACATAGTAGGGCTCTCCAAATATAAGTCTGTTAATGAAAGTTAGAACCAAGAAAAAGGTCATTTAATGAGTTATGAATATACTGAGTAGTGCATGATAGTTTAAAACTGCTTTTGTTAATTTTATTTTGCCTGATCTGTTGTCACCAGCAGCTTTTAGATGGCTCTGTTCTAAAATTAATCCTCCTCCCACACTCTTATCTTATTTACCTCTCACTGTTCTTATTATCATAAAAAGGAACATCCCTTCGAAGGAGTATGATTTCTGAACAGGTATTTGCATATTATACAGGATTTTTCTTTTAAAAAAGGTTTATTTCATTTATTTATGCACACAAGAGGAGCTGGGGACCCTCCTGGTGGTGCAATGGGTTAGAGTGTAGCACTCTGAAGCTGCTGCTTCAGCACGAGTATGATCCCTGGCCAGGGAGCTGACCCACATGGCGCAGCAGACCTCTCCTGTCTCGCCCACTGCTCCCCTCAGAAGTGTACTTCATATATCTGCTTGTTCTGTTCCCCACTCTGTCTCTGGTGAATCCTCTCACCACCCCTGCACCTCTGGCCTGTACCTCAGTTCTGTTTGTATAAATAAATAAATCTAAAAAAAAAAGAGCTGGGGTGTAGGCCATAGGTGCAGGTGGCAGGGATGGGCAGGTAAGATTCACCTGAGACAGAGTGGGGAGCAGAAAAGGCAGATGGGTGAAGTACACTGCTGAGGGGAGCAGTGGGCGAGAAGGAGAGGTCTGCTGCGCAATGTGGGTCACCTGACTGGGGCCATCCTGGCTGGGGATGGAACTTGTGTTACTGTGACTGCTGACAGGTATTAAGTGCTGAGACTTAACACCTTGCACCACCACCACCAGGGAGGCCCTACAGGATTTTTCTGTACCAACAGCAAACAAGCAATTTTCAAAAAGGTACATGGTAGAAGAGCTGGGTGGGCCTGTTTCTTATGCTTATGTATCTTTTCTTTTGGCTTTATAAATGTGCTTTCTTTTCTCTGAGGAAAGGGTTGTTTCTACTGAAACTCAGAACAAATGAGTGAGAACACAGAACTTCCTGGTTTCCCCTGAATACCTTTTATTTTTTTTTTGCACCTCCCTCTCCCCCCCAGCATTAACACTCGATCATCCCCATCATCAAAGAAAATCTGTGGAAAGTGGTGCACAAAAGCAATCAGAAAATATTTCAGTGATGATGTGAATCAGTGGCTCCAGGTCTTTCTCACTAGTTTGTAACAGCAAATACCTACCTCATTCAGGATCTTTCTTTCTTTAATAGACTGGACCACCCCTAAAGAGATCACAGAAAAAACAGGTCACATGGAGCAGAGGAGCACGCTCTTCTGATGCTTCAGTGATTCATAAGAGCAAGGGACGAATAACACTGAGGACAGGTGGTCTCCATAAAGCCACAGCTCCTTAATAAGGCTTGTAGCAGAGATTTCCTTCCAGAATACAGTTGATGCTTAATTTAAGCATTTTAAAAATGCCTGCTGCACATGGGTTTCTGCCTACTATCAAATAAGTCCTGAGTTCATATGCTAACATTGCTAGGAACAGATTAGGTCCTATTAGTTATAAAAAGAAATCCATTTCCCCAACATAGACAGCTTATCTGAACAAAGAGATATGCATTAAAGATAAAGCTAGTTTAGTGTTACCATTAAAAACCTTTTGGTAATTCAGATTCAGCATTAGCAAAAAGCTTAGGTGTTAAAATGTTAGGTGAAAAAATGCAATTCTGAGGTGTTAAAGGGAGGAGGGGAGAAATAATATTATACTTACAGAAATAGCTAACTACCCATTTTCCTCCTGCAATTCCCAGAAAATATTTCAGTGTCCGTTCACACACAAACTCAGCATCTACAGGAAACAAAACAAAACAAAACAAAAAGCATTTAGAGGATTAGTAGAAGGGAAAATGAATGAGGTGCTGCCAGAAGATGCTAGAGCCGCAGCTCATACGGGGCTCAAGATCAACCTGGACTAATGATTCCATCACCCCTCGGAATAAAGTCAGAGGCAGGAAGCACCCCAATTATAACCAGCAGGTGTGGACAGTGGGGGCCTAGGAAAGGGGGATGTGAAGACCAGAGGAAATGCCTGCCTCATCTTCTAGACGCCAAGGCTGGCTGAAGGCCTCCATCAGTGTGTTCAAGGAACCACCTACTGTCAGCAGTGGACAAGCCAGAGCTACTTAAATGGATGGTAGAATGTGGAGCTAAAAGGAAACAGTATTGTTAAAAATCTGAGATGTCAATTAAGTGACAAATTTTCAACCCCAGGTCTTTTACCTAAGGAATCCAAACCTCCTAATTCCCCCAAGGACAGGAACCTAGAGTTTTTTTCATAGATTTTTATCTAAGTATTGTAAAATGTCATAGCTGGGGCCTCCCTAGGGGCACAGGGATTAATGTCTCAGCACTATCAAGCTTTGGCCAGCCCTTGTAGCATGAGTTCGATCCCCAGCCAGGGAGCTGACCCACATGGCACAACAGACCTTTCCTGTCTCCCCGCTGCTCCCCTTAGCAGTGGATATCAGTAGATCTGCCTGTTCTGCTCCCCACTCTGTCTCTGGTGAATCCTCTCACGACCCCTGTACCTCTGGCCTGTACCCGGCTCCTGAACGCATAAATCAATTAAATCTTTTTTTAAAAAAAAGGAATTGCAGGTGACAGTCCAGAAATTAATGAAAAGAAGTTCTGGAAGCTCAATTTGCCATGCTGACACTGGTTGAGGCCTTCATTACTTTGTCCATGGTGAGAAAGTCGTTTGATTTTCAAAAAATTCAGGGAACTCTTTTTTCATGAGTCCTTTCAGGTCCTTCTTTAAACAGCCTTTACCCCCAGAAAACTTGTGAAACATGAATATCATTGTTTTCATGGTATGTTCCATTTGAACATTTTGGTGAAAATCTGTTAAAACCTTCACCCAACGGCATTTGGACTAGCTGGGAATCTTGCCAGTGAGCTGGGCAACTTTTCAGGGGACTGGGGTGGGCAGTGGTGTGATGGTTGAGCTTCATTGGGCATCTCTGTGTATTCACTGTCTTTGCCTTCTGGAGCCCACCACTGAATCCAACTCCTCTTCCAGACAACAACTTGAAGAGGGTTGTGTTGTTCTATTAGGTCTGTTCATCAAATGACATTATATTGAATTCCTTTTCTCTATCCTCATCTACCTCTGGATACACATTCTGGTATGTCAGTGATCACCTTAAAAAAGGAAGCATGGTCCTCAAGAGAGCATTTATCTTTCAGACAGTCACTCCCATGGAGAGTAGAGCAGGGAGGTGACAGGTATCACATGTATCAGGATCTTTATTTTGCTTGCTTCAGACATTAGGTTCATATTAATAAGCCTATTTCAAATGAAGTCTTTTTTTTTTTAGCAGCCTAGAAATGTTTACTCAGATTTAGCTTCTAATCAACTGAAACTCCCAAGGCCACCATAATCATACAAGTCATAAGTAAGATTTAAGAAGGGGAAGATATTAGACAAATGAATTTTCCTTTCCCACATACGAGGCTATCTGAGTGCTGATACTGTACTTGTTTCCTGAAAAACTCAACCACAGCAGGCTCTGACTTGAAGTTTGAGTGCAGCAAGGGCATGGAGTAGAGATGGAGCTAAGGTTTCCAGCCATCCAGATTCTGGGTGAAGACTTACTTCTGCCTAGTCCCCCTCTGGCCTCACTTTGCTTCAGGGCTTGTCTCTGCTTCAACAGAAAGCTCTTTCCAGTGTGGTCCCACAGGGTGCACCCACTTTCTAAATCTTAACTCAAAAAAAAAGGTAGTCAGGAAGTAAAACTATCATTTTTCTTTTCAAAAAGTAGTAACTGACTATCAAAAGACTACAGTCAGGATATGCCTAACAAATACTCCCACCATTCCTTTATATGGTCAGTACAAGAGTTGTAACATTTTATGAAGGTTCTTGAAATACCTGTTTTCATAATGACATGAGTAGTCTCTTCAGTAACTGTATTAGTTAAAGTGATGTGGTATTTTCTGGCAAACTTGTGCACAAGCATCTGAAATCAAATCAAATATATCATTATAAAAAATGATCTACAGTAGAAAGCTTAGAGTATCAGTTATCCTAGCTTTGAGTCCCAATTTTTCTCAGAAAATGTACACCATTTTTATTCTAATATGCCCAAAGCCTTGATATAAATAGTAATTTAATAAAAATTATGAGCAAATCAGTGGTTCATACTAGCAGACATGGAATTACAAAGATTCAAAATAATATTAATTTCCCCTTTCCTAGTAGGTATCATTTGATTCCATAAGACAGTCTCTTTGCAGAGTGATACCACATTGTACTTTAGCATCCTACATTTTATAAACTGAGAGGTAACTAGCCTGTACAGAAAGTTATGCTATAGATATGTGGCTTAAAACCAAGATTCAACCTTCTGATCATTACACAACATTCAAGTCAAGATGCTTTTAAAAGGTCAGTGCAGGGCCCTCCCTGGTGGTGCAACGGGTGCAACAGTGTGACACTGTGAAGAGCTATTGGTAGCTTCGGTATGAGTTTGATCCCTGGCCAGGGAGGTGACGCACAAGACCCAACAGACCTCTCCTGACCTGCCCGTTGCTCCCCTCAGTAGTGTATTTCGTCAGTCTGCCTGTTCTGCTCCCCACTCTGTCTCTGGTGAAGCCTCTCACTGACTCTACACCTCTGGCCTATACCCCAGTTCTGTATGTGTAAATAAATAAACCTCTACCCCCCCAAAAAAAAAGGTAAGTGCAAAAAACTATCAATTGTTCTTAAGAAGCAGGACCAGAAGAGCTCGTTTTTCCTAAAATAAATCTAGTTTTTTAGAAATTATCTATACAAAAAAATAGAAATTATGTATAAACCAAATAAAAGGCAATAAGCAGGAAAAGAAATCAATCCGATGTATTATGGACACATTTGACGTAATTAGCAGTTACTGTTTGGTAAGTAACTTTGTTTACTAAGGGTAATCATTTACCAGCGATTGCTACCCATGCCAAAATGTGTAGCTGCACAGTATTACAACTGAGATGAAGCCATCTTTCATTTTGCCTCACTCTATACTGCCATGGGGCACTGAAAAAAACAGGCTAGAGAAGTTAATGACATCTTCCCCCCTTTGCTGCTGCCCTCTGCCAGGATCATTAGCAATTCTGAACTGATTAATTGCTGAAATCCCAGCCTTGAAACAGTATTCAGTTAGAGGAGCAAGTGCTGAAAAGATCATCTTAATATGGGCTTCAGAATTAATCATGTGTAATACAGTCAGCAGCTTTCATAATAAATTTACCACACTTCAGCAAGTCTGAATAGAGCTAAAAAGTTTCCTCTTTGTTTGTTTAAAGACAACATGTACCCAAGCTACTTACAGACTAATCTGTAGCTCAGAATTGCTCATGGCCAAGAAAGATTAAATCATTTCAGCCTTCCTGAAAAGCTAAACTCATAAAACAAAGAAATAGGAAGACTAATTTTCAATGAATTAAAGGGAATTGCAGGTATGTAGGCAAATGATCAAGGAAATATAAACAGTCAGAGGTATGAATTTTCAGAATAAATAGCTGGTCTGGGCAGGTGCAGTGAGATAAGAATCCTAGCGTACTGATGAAAACTTATTCACTACATTATTAAGGTGGACACATTTACTTTGTCCTTTGAGTAGTGGGACACATCTGGCCACAGAGAATGTTATGCTGAGTTGCTACCTTCTATCTAATAGAAGTTAGGATGAAAAATGGTTCTTATCCCAAGAAGCATTTGTTAAGAAAGATACAAATGCCTGGGTCACTTTTCATTGTATAATAAATGGTACCCATATTGACTCCATTTGATACTCTGGTTTGTGATCTAATTAAGGCTTTAAAGAAATGTCCACTTAACTTTTATTTGAAGTGGTACCAATTCGATTAATTATAGGGGAAATAAATGTCCTAGACTGTTAGAAATCTACACCTAGATTTCTTCACTTACACTAAAGAAGATACAAGGCTTTAGTGGTCTTAATATTTTCATGGTCATTTTCCCATAATGTGAAGAAATATTGCTTTTGGCAAGGGAGGGTGGTCCAAGATGTGAAAATGCTAATAGTGAGGGGAATGTTATAGGGCAGAAATGACAGGGCAGGCTACTGAATAACTGTTACAAACTAGAATGAAGGCACACACTAGAGAAAGGTCATTATTTGGCAATGTGCGTGTAACTAGTTTGAATTACTTCATCAAGCAGGTAAATTCATCATTTGTGGGAAAAAGATGACTTATGATAAGCAGACTTATGATAAGCTTTTTTAGGTTAAAAATTTTTAAATTAAAAACCTAAATTTAAAAAGCTCCCTCTATATATACACCAAACTTTGATCTTGGAGCCTCCCTCGTGGCTTTGGGGTTAAGTCTCAGCGCTGTCACTATGTGACCTGAGCTCAATCCCAGGCCAGGGAGCTGATCCACATGATGCGATCCACATGATGCAGCATATTTCTCCAGTCTCACCTGCTCCCCTCAGCAGTGTGAATCCACCTATTTTGTCAATCCACCTATTCTGCTCCCCATTCTGTCTCTGGTGAATCCTCTCACTCCCCTACACCCCAGTTCTTGTACGTGTAAATAAATAAATCTTTAAAAAGAAAAACTATGGCCCTCCCTGGTGGCGCAGCGGGTTAAAGCACAGCACTAAGAAGCTAAAGCCACTTCCACATGAGCTCGATTCCCACCTGCCCCGGAGGTGACCACATGGCGTGGCAGACCTCTCTTGACCCGCCCGCTGCTCCCCTCAGCAGTGTACTTTGTTGATCTGCCTGTTCTGCTCCCTGCTCTGTCTCTGGTGAAGCCTCTCGCCGCCCCTGAGCCTCTGGCCTGTACTCCAGTTCTATATGCACAAATAAATAAATCTTAAAAAAAAAAAAAGAAAAAAGAAAAACTATGACCTTTCTGCTCATATTTCATAATAATAATCATTTTCTTAAGTAAATATACAATATACACAAATAACCCATGTTATAACTTTATCTAGGTTCAATTTTTCAGAAATTAGTAATAGAAGTTAAATTACGTAGAACGGTGGTCTTACATTATTCATTGCTAGTACCTATTTAAAACTATAAATGAAGAAGTCTCAGTTATCAGGGAGACACATGTGGACACACTCACAAATTCTTTTGGGGTCAAGCCCGACGCCACCATCGATATTCTGTTATTGACTCTGTTTGTTGAAGACAGTAATCTTGGCTTCTCCCGGCTAACACTTTCTTCCCTTGTATTATACCCAGCAGTGTTAGGAATACGAGCAGCAGTTTGACTCTTGGCAGATTCTGCACCTCGAAATGGGGGCAGCTTTAAGGTAAAGGCTGAAGCTGGCAGGCTGCAAATATGAGCTGGAGTTTGGGTTCTGTCTTCAGAGGGCTCAGATGCAGGGTCATTGGAGAAAAGGCTCATTCCAGATTCTAGGTAAGGGGTTCCCTCTGCAAGGAATTGGGGAGAAAGTTTAATCTCTACAACAATGAATCCTGAATTACAATTACCAGTACCTGCTAAGCATTAAAAAGATCAAAATGGGTTAAGAGAAAAGTGGGTACATTATTACACTGCTGGTGAAGTGCAGTATGGCTTAACTTTTCTAAAGGACAATTTGGAATTTTGCTGTAAGTTTTAACATGTGTTCACACTTTTTGTCAGTGATTCTAGTTTTAGAATTATACCCCAAGGAAGTAAAAGATGTATGCAAAAGTTCAGTCACAGGAATGTTCACTGCAACATTTTTATAAAAGTAGTTGACGTAACAGGTTAAATGTCAGAGATTAAAGAAATCATGGCATCTCCATTCCAATGGGGGTACTTTTCACTCACGAGACACTGAACATAAACATTTACTTACAATAAAATGGAGAAGTGCATACACTGTGTTCCTTGCAACATTCTTCATGATAGCCAGGAGTTGGAAGAAACCCAGATGCCTATCAATGATGAATGGCTAAGGAAAATGTGGCATATACATTACAGTGGTTTTAAAAAGCTGAATATCTTTTTAAAAGGCAGAAAAGCTCATTGCTATATAGATGAATCTTGAGGACATTGTGCTAAGTAAAAGCAGTCAGTCACAGACAAGACAAATCCTGCATGATTCCAATCAAAATCTTAGAAACAGAAAGGAGAATGGCCCTTGCCAGTGGATAGCTGGAAGGAGAAAATGGGGAGTTGTTCAATGGGTAGAGAGTTTCAGTTTTGCAAGGTGAACAAGTTCTAGAAGAAGTCTGTTGCACAACAAAGTTAATGCTGCTGAAGTATACACTTAAAAATGGTAAATATGGTGAATTTTATGCTGTTTTTTAGAACTAACAATAAGAAAAATTAAAATGTATAACAAGTAATTAATGTGCCTAGTAAAGATACCTAAGGAATATTATTTGTCATGAAACTTAATTTTAAAAATGAAAGTTTAAGTTAACTGACCAAAGAAATACAGCAATATTTCTCAAGACAGGCCTGCAGGTACTCTTAATGTACCTAAATTCTCCAACTGTTTGGCAGTGAACATAAAGTACCCTTGCAAGGAAAGAAACAAAAGTTGAAAAGACACAAGGGGCCTCCCTAGTGGCCCAGAGGTTAGAGTGCCACCTACTGTGGCCAGGGAGCTGCCCACATGGTGCAGCAAACCTCTCTTTCCTGTCTCTCTCAATGGTCCCCTCGGCAGTGTATTTCAGTAGATCTGTCTGTTTTGCTCCCCACTCTGTTTCTAGTGAATCCTCTTATTCCTTACACTTCTAGCCTACACTCTAGTTCTTATATACATAAAGAAATAAAAATAAATCTTAAAAATAAAGATACAAAATACCTGATTTTTCTTTCTTCATATGTGATACCATTACTGTCTTTCATTTACCAAATTAAAAATAGGAGACCATCTCTGAACATTAAAAAAAAAGGCCCTTCTTCAGGCGATAAGCACAGCTAAATAGAATGTATGAAATTCCAAAAATGATCCTATGGAACATGGCCAAATACCACACCGAGATGCCAAAGCACCTTTTATGATAATGTGTTTTTGAGGATTAATTTAAAACTTTCTTTACTGATTAAAGCTTTGATTTACAAGCCATAAAATACACCATTTGTTTAAAGTGACTTATAACTCATTAATTCATAAGATGCTTTAGAGACTGGCCTCATTTCTCAATAACGGATACATTCTAAAACTGTATTGTAGGACCCTAACAGTTGAATTAAAATATTCAGAGCACAGAGAATTTCTCATCTTCAAAACTGTTAGAGCTAAACCAATATAGATTAACAGCTGCAATAATTTTCAAGTAAACTTAGATTAACATTCAAGCAATATTTCTAAAATGGGCTTAAATATATCAGAAGCATTCATGAGACTTGTACATCAGAAAGGTGATTAACTAGGATCTCTTTAGATAGAATTTAGAGAAGTATAAAAGTGTTTCCTCCATCACAGCAGGTGAAATATTACCTAGCTCTTGTCTTGGCAAATTAGACTGCTCCATTAAATCTTGGGCCTCAGACTTCGTCAGTGGTTGTTCCTCCACATCAATAATGTTAGTTAGTTCCTTTTGAGATGGGCAATGTCTGCTCTGAAGACTTCTTGAGGGGCTGTGTGCATACCACCTATTATCTAACAATTGGGACTGAGAAGCGGAAGACCTAGAGAGAAGGACGAAAGGAGAGAAAACCATCATCACAGCTGTAAAGGGCTCATCATACTTCCTGGTCAGCCAAAGCCTCACTGAAACTGCACTGTCGGAGGTCAGGAATGATTAGCAAAAAGGAACCCCATTGACGGCTTAGAAGTCTGGCTTTGTATAGTCTGCCAACTTGTCAGAGCTAATGTATAACATCTCCCTTTAGGGTCTGGTCTGAGGCAGTATATCTCCTAGATGTTTAAAAGCATGTCAGCAAGTTTCACCAAATTATCTACTGCCACTCTTTCAAATTCTATATACTATTGCAGCTGTGTCCAAATGGAAGTATTAGAACCAGATCTCTCAAGGAAACAGAAAGTTGATTAATTTTGACATCTTTATATTCATTCTTTTGACCCAATTTTAGCAAAATTTATGGAATCACCTCTACCTCCTGCTTTTTCAATGTCTAATGCCATTCTATTAAAAAAAAAAAAAGCCAGCTATAAAATATAGTTTGAGAAGCATAACACCCCGCAAGTAATTCCTCTATTCTTCCAGGTATATAGGACTTTGCTGAATAAGATACTCATCAACAGATTTAAAGGACCTCAGAGATGAGCTAATTAATTAAAACAATTATTGGGTGTTTACTATGGTCAAGCATGAAAGAGATAGGTCCTGTGGATTAAAGATGAGCAAGACCTGAATTGCTGCTCTCCAGTAGCCTAATAGAGGAAGGAAGTCCAATCCGTGTGGAGACTCTTTAAAAGAAGTCTCTATAGGGTACACTGGGCAGGGGTGGAGGGGAAGAAGGAGCAGGAATCTATAGTCTGAATATTAAGTGGGTGGTTAATTCAGTTGATTAAAGCATGGTGATGAAACCCTGTAAATATGGGTTTAGTGCCTGTGGAGGCTGGATCTTTTCATTCTGTCACAGCCACAATGCAAGTATTCCAGCCTTGTCAGACCAGCCTAATAGGCTTGGAAGAGATGGTGTGATAAGATTACTGATAACAGGTCACTAGTCCCAGGAAGCCAAGTGAAAATATAGCTCCACTCAGTAGGAACTCTATGACATCCTTTTCCCTCCTAGAGGAGTGAGACTTCAATGGCTCTGTGGCTCTTCCCTGAACTATCACATATTAAAAAATAGCCCAGTAGTTGTTCTGTGACCTTCACAGTATATAAATGTCAAATAATAAAGTATGTAAAGTATTTTTGACAATATGAAGTGTTATGCAATCTTACTCAATAGTGGTCTGAACAGATATCCCTGAAAGACATTTTGATTATTTCCTGAGGCAAATCAACAGCTAACCTTTTTCTAGAAAGGCAAAACTTCAATTAGAACAAGTGTTATATTGGAGAAGTGGATCATAAGCCTTCAGGATTGTTTTGTTATTTTATTCCCACCTTCAGAGGGGAGAGATCTACTGTACATTTTTCATGTTGTTGTATTAACATGGTTATGGAAAAAAAAAAAACAAACTAGAGAAAGTATGGTGGAAAAAATTTAACAATAAGAGTTCAGTGCCACAACTTGACATTTATTATTTCTTACCTTTCCATTTCTGGTCCTTTGTCCGAGGATACTTGAAACTTGTGGGCAGAAAAGCTTTCTGGATTCTGACTTGTAGGATACTCACTATTTTTCTCTGAGCTTAATACTGTGATGGAAAGAGAAAACAAAGAAATCTACTTTATTATTTGTCTTAATGTGGTAATTCAGGAGAAGATACTGATTTTTTCAAAAAAGCAATCTGTGACAATCAAATTGGTTTTTAAATAAGTATATGAAAGAATGTTATAAACAAAGGATACAGCACCAAATGGAACTAAATAACTAAAAAATTAGTAATGACAATAAAAGGAGCACTTTAATCCTGGACAAATAGGTACCAGCTGAGAAAAGAGTGAAAAAAAAACAAAACATGAATTTATATTTTTTGAGCCTGAATGATAAAGAAACAAGGCTAGAAAATGAGTTGTTATCTCTGCAGCAAACTAAATTATATTCAAACACTCTTAGATAATAGGAAAGATAAAGTACTGGAAATCATAAAGCCTATTTTGTTTTCCATCCTATCACCTCCACATTAAAGACTGTGAAAGATGGGTGTTTAAGCTTTTGCATGTGTGGCAAAACAAGGATGGAGCAGATGAGAAAGGAAAACATAGGTGACATTTTGGCTTCACATTTTCAATTATTAAAAAAAAAAAACAAAAAACCAAGGTGTTGACTGATAAGGATCCTTGGAGTAATACATCGAACTAATGATAAAAATGGCATGAGAAGGGAAAAGACACAAAACAGACCCAGGGCAAAGTTCTGGTGCATTAGTACATCCTTTTTACTTATTTATTCTCCCAAATGCATTATAGTGCCACTGCTTTCTATAAAGTGGCTTAAAGGCAGAAATATTTAAAAAGCAAAGACAAATATTTGTAATATTATAATGTCTTATACTCACTAAAAAGTCATTGATGATTACAATTTATTTTGAGCTTTTCTTAGAAAAGCTAAAATTTATAAATTGAAGTAAAATTTTAAACAACAAGCTATATTAATTAAACTGCTTTTCTTTTTTTTCTGAAGACACTGGGAAGCTTGGGGAAAATAATCATTGATTCCTGAGTTAATCCTCAAATGAATTATTTACAGTTTCTTTTATGTTCATCTTTTCTGGATCTGTAAGTTTCTAGGAACACCAGTATTCTGCCTGGAGCTACAAGCTGCTGGAAGTAAAGAGAATTTAACCATGAATCCAGGTTTTTCTTTCAGCTGGGCATGTGCAGCTTTTTAATATAGGTATTAATTCCCCCTGAGTATAGGGTGATCACTGATGAGAAGTAATAAGCAGTCCATAAGGAATCATCCTGGAGATGAACAATTGGAAAGAGTTTAAAAGGGAAAAAAATTAAAGGGAGGAAGACACAAGCATGAACACTAGTTATTCTATATTCAGCTCCCCCAATATTCAGCATATGAATTGCTTTGCCATTACAATGGAGCTCAAGCTATGCAGAAAATAAGTTAATCTGAATTATAAGTCAGTAACAGCCTAAAAAACTCAGTGCAAAACATTACCAGTCTTCTTTTTCCTTAATCTATATTTCATAAATCCAGAGATCCAGAGGCCAAGTATTAGAACAGTAAGGAAGGCAGGCCCCCCTTTTTTTTTTTTTTAAGATTTATTTATTTATTCGTACAGAACTGGGGTACAGGCCAGAGATGCAGAGGGTGAGAGGATTCATCAGGGACAGAGTAGGGAGCAGAACAGGCAGATCGATGAAGTACACTGCTGAAGGGAGCAGCGGATGGTCAGGAGAGGTCTGCCACGCCATGTGGTCACCTCCGGGGCAGGTGGGGATCAAACTCATGCGGAAGTGGTTTAAGCTTCTTTGTGCTATGCTTTCACCTACTGCGCCACCAGGGAGGGCCGGAAGGTAGGCCCTTTTAAGACATTCTCTCACTAGGGGATTTTAAAGATTTTTTTTTAATGTATTTATGCACACAAGAGCTGGGGTGTAGGCCAGAGGTGTGGGATGTGACAGGATTTACCAGAGACAGAGTGGGAAGCAGAACAGGCAATTCTACTGAAAGACACTGCTGAGCAGAGCAGCAGGCAGGACAGGAGTAATCTGCTTCACCATGTGGGTCACCTCCCTGGCTAGGGATCAAACTTATACTGCAGTGGCTGCTGGCAGTTTCATAGTGCTTAAACTCAACCCCTTGTGCCACCAGGGGGCCTCCCTCATCAGAGAGTTTTAACGTTATTAAATATTTAAATGTTACAGTCCACTGAAATTTTATTCCACTCCCCAAAATAAAATCAATGTTATATTCTTCATTGTAGGGAATATGTCAGATCAAATATTTATCAAATTTACAAGTTCTGTTATACAAAGTGTTGGGAAGTCTCAGAGGAAAAGACATTGGGGAAGAAAGATGTTAAGAAATTGGCCCTCTCTGGTGGCGTAATGGGTTAGGACACAGCACTGCAAGCTAGCCACAGGTGCTTCAGTATAAGTTCGATCCCTGGTCTGGGAGGTGATCCACATGGTGCAGCAGACCTCTCCTGACCGGCCCGCTGCTCCCCTTAGCAGTGTACTTGGTCGATCTGCTTGTTCTGCTCCCCACTCTGTCTCTGGTGAATTCTCTCACCACCCCTGTACTCCAGTTCTGTATACATAAATAAATAAAATCTTAAAAAACTAAAAATGCCATTAGTGTAACTGAAGGCAAATAAGATAAGAAGCTTGCTGGAATTTCAATTAAAACTCCCACCAGTTTAAGGGAAGAAATGGTCCAAAACCATAGTCAGTATTAAGGTGATACTCAACACATTCCAGACATGAAGAAACATTTTGTCCATAGATCTTGGTATAAAGAAACATTTTGTCCACAGATCTTGGTGAGGCAGTAGTAGGGTTGGTGAGCAGAGATATTTAACATCCCAGCCCTGCCCAAGATGAGACAACAAATTTACACAATTATTTAATGTCAAACAATAATATTTTATATCTAATGTGTGTGTTTTTAGACCGAAGATGGTGAAAGCACATCAAAGAAGAGAAGTGTAATGGGTCCTAGGCTTTGGGCTTCATTATCTGGGAGATGAACTAAATGAAAATAGTTCAAAGAAAGCATTTGAGGAAATACATTTTCAACCACTGCCATAGCAACAGAGCTTCTAGCTTATCATGCAGGAACTACTGTTTATTTCTCCCTGAACATAAAAATACTGGAAGGCAGTTCCGGGACCAAGGCACTACTCTGGATAATTAAGATGTGAGCTTTTAGGAAAAGACTAAAAGGAAAGCCCTCAGGCCCTCTGGAGGGATTGGGCAGGGAGTGACATGGAAGGGATTTAACACTAAGTTAGTTGGGTACCACCAGCAGTGAAGGACACTGGCAGGATTCACCACACCTACTCGTTCCTGAGCATCAGCTCCCTTTCTGGAACCCAAGCCTGTGTCTAGCCCCTTGTTTCTGTGTTTGCCACTTTTTAAAAACCTGCCTGGTAGTATAATGGACCAGGCGAGAAAATAACAAAAATAATGAACAACCATAGACCAGAGACATTCTGTGGGGGTGGAGTGGGGAATGGGATCAAA